ATGGTGTCTTGTTGATTTTAAACCAAATACAGACTGTGTCTTGTTGGTTGATCCTAGTTAACCAAATTCTGGCATGTGATGATTATAAAATGAAGAATCTCCTGATCAAGTCTGTTTCTCATGATCCTGTTCATTTTAATAGAAGTGATTTATGGAATGCATTACTCTTAGGGTCTGTATATTTGTAAAATTTTTCATATTAATCCTCAAACCAGGAAATCACCTTTCGCCTTGTATTTTCACTTGGATTGGAAAATAACATACTTGGATTCATAGTATATACTTAATATATATGTCATATAAGTAATGGGAGCCACAGGGAGGTTCAGTTAGAAGAGTTGGAAATTTCCTAAATAGCAAGTTAATGTTCCTAGGTCATTTGTTAAAGATTTAATCAGTGTTACACAGATGGAATTGGTCAGTTTTATATTTCACTGTCTATACTACTTACCAATATATGTTCAGTAATAACTATATTGCCTGACACATAGTGAAGCTTAATAAATATCTGGTGAATGAGTAAATCACAGACTAGACTTAAAATAGCCAGGTTGTTATGGCTTTACTCTCACTGTGGAGTTGAAATACTAATGAGAAGGGAAGGATAAGAGAGGCCATGTGTCAAAATTCAATCTCTAGAGAGACACCGAAGGCTGCTTAGGTGGTGGTGATAGAAAATAACCAGCAGTCAACTTAGTGGATTCTTCAGCCTACTGGGGCTTGATTTGTGTCCTACATTTCCCATTCATTCCAGCCTCCTTGAGGCTCTACCTCAGCCCATCATGAGTCCAGGGAATCCTGGCTGAGCAATTCACCTTCTCCAACATCACTGCCTTAGACTGGGCCCTGCTGGATTGCTTCGTTCCAGTGTCTGGGTCTGTGGCTCCACTTCCCCAGATGTCAACATCAGCACCAGTGGCCCTGTATGTGGGTTCACCAATAACCACACCCTTGTTTCATCCAGCCTCAGTCTCCTTTTCTCAGGAGTGGCCCACATAGCTTGCAGCAGGTAAGGCCCCATGTTTCATGTGGGCAGAAACAACATCCCTGAGTCCCCTTCCAGCATCTTGGAGAGATGAGGTCTCATGGATGCA